ATATATATATATATCTTCATGTACATTCACTGATCTTATTTATATTATTTTCTATTTTATTTTTATATTATTTTTATGTTCTCTTTGATTTGTTTTTGCAAAGTTTGCATTATTTATCTTTTTTATAATCTTCTATGTTTTATTTCAACTTTACTTTGATTTCGATTTCATAATGACAATTTCCAATGTTTAATTTCTACAAATAATATAGTACTCAATACATAAAGATGATAGTGTCGGGGACGATTACTCGACTTTTACAAGATTTCTCTACAGTAATTGATTTTTACTCCAAATTGAATTGACTAAAAATGCTTCATGAGAATCAGTTCTTTGAGTAACAACTATTCGCGGAAATATTTGGCCTGACTAGAATTGCCGGTTTGGCTTTAATTTATAACTCGAGTAAAGACGAAACACTTTCATATTTACGTATTTCTATCAATTATTGATCATTGAACGGGAGTTGGTTTGTTCCCCTTGAAAAGTCAACTAATTTCCGATCAATGACAATAATTACATGTTTTAATTTTTACTTTTACAATTGTAATATTATTCTTCGTGATGATTTAACTCCAGTCCCCGTTAAAACATTATTAACATTTTGCTTTCAATTACTTCAAAACATCTTTCAAAATATAACTTACCAGTATGGATGCACACTTTTAAAATAATTCTACTTTAATTAAACTTAGGAGATAATATAATCAATTAATCAATACGGTTTAGGAATAAATTATTATATAATAATAATATATATATATTTTTTTTTTTTTTTTTTTTTTTTTTTTTTTTTTTTTTTTTTACCATAGCGACACTCTATCGCTAGGTTCACTTAACAGCGTTATATTTCGTTCATTTTATAACTCAGAATGCACAAAATTTATATCATTTGAAGAATTATCTAATAGTTGCCACATATTCTATTCAAATACTATAATAAATCTAGAACGATGTATAAAAGAAATTAAGCAAACAGAACAAAAGAAGAAAGTTTTTCGCAGACGATTCAGTATTTCTCATTCAATTAATTCAGCGACAAGACAAAGCGACAAGGCAAAAATATATAAAAACTCAAAATATCTATATTAAAAATTACGAAGTAAATCTTAAACACTTATCTCTTCGAAAAAAATTCCAGAAAGGATTAAGCATGATTTAATTCACAATAAAAATGAAGGCGTTATCTTTGTTGTTGCGAAACGTAGTCTCTTTAGATTGACAACAAATCTACTATTCTGCTGTTTCAGATGTAAACAAACATATCCGCCATGTTATTTAAAAATTAGGCTTAACCGCCCTTGAACAGCTTTTAATTGTTGATAATTCTACAAATATTGCTTCCGGATTTTCTAAAGGCATGAAAACCTTAACCGGAAGATAGGAACAACATAATTCAATCATTTTTAAAGCAAAAAAATGCACAATTTACAAACATATAAGAGTAAAGAAACTGAGATCACTAAGCTGGGTAGCACAGTGGATACATATATAAATATAGTTATATATGTTTGGTGCGGCCGATTGCAACCAAAATACGAGGTGCACATCTACATGTTATAGCAGTCCTGTGCACAAAATTTCAACGTTCTGAGGCTACTCGTTTTTGAGTTATGCGAGATACATACATTCGTACGTACAGACGTCAAGAAAAATTCTCTTCAGAATTCCTTTAAAAGCAGTTTTATAATTTTTTTGGAGGAAAAAGAGTCTTTTAGTCTGTCCTTACGTATAAATGTCAAGCAAAAACATCGTTAAATTGCATTCGAAAGCGGTCAAAATGGATATTTTCGTTGAAATATGCTGCTAAAACTTTTCGCGATTAAAAAAAAAGCAAACGTCACTATGAAATGTTTCTTTGAAGCTGTTTTTAACGTGGAAAATAAAAGCGTATTAATATGAAATGCTACATTCTTTCAATCGCAATATTTATTTACAAAATTAAATATGGTTCCCTCTCAAATTTTCCTTTTTACTTCGTACAAAGAAGTAAAAAAAAGCAAACGTCACTATGAAATGTTTCTTTGAAGCTGTTTTTAACGTGGAAAATAAAAGCGTATTAATATGAAATGCTACATTCTTTCAATCGCAATATTTATTTACAAAATTAAATATGGTTCCCTCTCAAATTATAAAAATCACTGCTATCTCTACGAAGCATTTACGTACAGTTAAAAATAGCAATAATAATATGATAGGTAAGCAAAGGGATAATGACCTCATGCTATAAAACTCCGAACAATAATTCTTCCCCTCCTACCCCTAGAAAATTTACACTCAATAAATTCTTCAATTTCAATCTTTGAGCAGTTAGTAAGATTGCCAGAGACGCTCCACTGACGCTGTTTTTAACGTGGAAAATAAAAGCGTATTAATATGAAATGCTACATTCTTTCAATCGCAATATTTATTTACAAAATTAAATATGGAAAATTTACACTCAATAAATTCTTCAATTTCAATCTTTGAGCAGTTAGTAAGATTGCCAGAGACGCTCCACTGACGCTGTTTTTAACGTGGAAAATAAAAGCGTATTAATATGAACGCATAAGCAAAGGGATAATGACCTCATGCTATAAAACTCCGAACAATAATTCTTCCCCTCCTACCCCTAGAAAATTTACACTCAATAAATTCTTCAATTTCAATCTTTGAGCAGTTAGTAAGATTGCCAGAGACGCTCCACTGACGCTGTTTTTAACGTGGAAAATAAAAGCGTATTAATATGAAATGCTACATTCTTTCAATCGCAATATTTATTTACAAAATTAAATATGGAAAATTTACACTCAATAAATTCTTCAATTTCAATCTTTGAGCAGTTAGTAAGATTGCCAGAGACGCTCCACTGACGCTGTTTTTAACGTGGAAAATAAAAGCGTATTAATATGAAATGCTACATTCTTTCAATCGCAATATTTATTTACAAAATTAAATATGGTTCCCTCTCAAATTATAAAAATCACTGCTATCTCTACGAAGCATTTACGTACAAGTTAAAAATAGCAATAATATATGATAGGTAAGCAAAGGGATAATGACCTCATGCTATAAAACTCCGAACAATAATTCTTCCCCTCCTACCCCTAGAAAATTTACACTCAATAAATTCTTCAATTTCAATCTTTGAGCAGTTAGTAAGATTGCCAGAGACGCTCCACTGAGAAAGCATAACAATGATCGAGTTGCTAAAGCCATCGAAGATACGCAAGCACCTTCGCCTAAATTACTGTTCTTTCCAGGTTTCATTGGGGTTTTCATGTTTTTGAAGTTACGAAAACGAGCTGGTTTCTCTCACACATTGGCTTATGAACGAGAGTTTCCCCTCTCGTCCAAAAGCCATTACCTGTTTTCCGTTTACCTACCTAACAATCCAGTAACCTAAACTAGACGATTATTCTCACAAAAGACTTGCCCCCCCCTCAAATTTATATAGTCCTTTTGTGTTTGTTTTTTTAAAGAGTTAGTCGCAGAATTTAGGTTAACTGTATTTTTCCCCCCACATTTGGTCTGAATCCCTATCATTAATTCATGAAACTTTAAAACTTTGCATAATTGCAAAAAACGCTGGAATGCCGAGGTGGGAACGCTGTTTACGGGTTTCTGAGGTTCTAAAACGCAGTTAAACTCGTAATTAAATATTTAAGAACGTAGTATTAAATGCATAAAATATATGCAAAATGCTATAAAAAATTAAATTTCGAACACATACACTAAAAAAAATGAAATCACTTAAACTTTACATTTACACGCATCCATTTTGAAGCAGACATTTGCACATTCATACAGTGAACAGTAACAATCATGTTAAAATTATTTCTAACATTAAAATAACATAATAAGAACAATACCTTTTAAATTCTTGTTTTATCAAATTAAAATTTGTTTACAACCAGATTTTTATTAAACCACTTCGTATCAAAGCGGCCGAACGGTAATATCGCTGAACATTGGGTATTTCAGGCCTAGGTTCGATTCCAGGGAAACGGGCTGGCTGCATGGACATTTCCGTGGTCTTACCCATATGTAACGTGTATACAAGCCAGTTTCCCTCAAAAAGTCCTCCACGATGGCATCCCTCCGTTTAGGCAGATAACCCAAGTCTACTTTGCCATAACAAAACCAAACCAAACGGTACCAAAAAGTAATTTTCGTCGTTTTGCTCATATGTAAACGAAATACAAGCCAGTTTCTCAGAAAAAGCTTTCCCCTAACACATTCTTTTTAAGTCAAACAGCCCGCAAAAATCTACTTTGCGGTAAAATATAAACTCTTTACAAAAATTGGCTCACTCTTATTTAAACAATCAGGAATAGAACCTTCGATAGACATGTTAAAATAAAATAAATGTGCAATTCAGAAATGAACTTCAAACTACAGAGCTGCTTTTCGACAGAAGAAAGGCTTCTTTGCCATGTTTCCGCTTAAATTACTGGTAGTTCGGTCCGAGGTTCGAATCCCGCGAACGGGCTGGCTGCATGGGTGTTTTCGTGGTTTTCCCCATGTGTAACGTGTATATACGAGCCAGTTTCCCTTATACGAGCCAGTTCCGCCCTCCACGAAGGCATCCCTTCCCTTAGGCAGATAGCCCTCGAGGCTCGTAATTAAATAACCTAACCGCTTAAATTACGCCACCGGAAAAAATAATCATAACAATCTTATAGACTACCTCTGAAAAAATAACACATTTAAGACAGTAACACTCGTGTAATGCATTTTGATTCTTGTAGAAAAGAATTCTTATAGAAAAGAAAAAGAGAGATTAACTTCAGTGAATGTTAAAATAAAATAAATAACCATCATTTAAGAGCCTTAAACGGTGCTTATCTATTTCCTTTTTCGGCCAAAGAGTCAATTTTAATTTCAAGATTTAGTTATTTTAGGTTAGTTATTTTAGGCATATCAAAGTTACTATTGTAAATTTTATATTTTTTGGCATCGAAGATGATAGAAATCCGAGACATGTCACTTTTTAATGATAGTTTGATTTCTGTTTTTCTACTTTACAACGATGGGAAAATCTACATATTCGGTGGGGGGAACACTTTAGTCCATTTGATGGCCAGCAGTACATGCTAGATATGATGTACGCACTGAATCTGAGCAAGACCGCTGACAAGCACATACATACGCGATTTTCTTACTCAGCGTTTGGAAATACATAACAAAAGAAAAACAAACGTTCCACTCAGTACTTCGTGTCTTCCTGTATAGCACTATCCATAATAAACAAACAAGTGCTCTATCAAATAGTCTGTCATTAAATGGACCAATGCATTTGTACCAGCTACCTGAGCACCATTAGAAGAGAATGAAATTGATGAACTTGTTTATTTTAGCATCTCCGTCATCAAATAGTTTTCAGTTCAATGCTCTAAAGTTACGTGCCCTTTCAGCTGTGCTTATACAATACATGATAACAACACCAATATTTTTCATTTTTAGTAAAATATTTAGTGTATCATTTAGCAAAATATTTAAATGTATTACAAATTAGGTTTTTGTGAAATGATTTTTCCCAACAGTAAGACAACGTGTGTCTTCACGTCACACATGAAGTAAACCAGCCTAGACTATGTTGTTCAGTATGTCAATGAACATAGCTCATAAAAGAACTGCGTGACGTAGACTCTTCATATTCGCCCAAACTCTGCATAGTATTCAGGGCGCTAAAACTGAATACATTTATGAGGACGACAGGCGCTCCATCCTGAAAGAAGAAAAAAAAAAAGAGAAAAAGGGAAGCTAAAAGTTATGATCAACATACCAATTCTATAACATAATATTACCGAAGTTTCGATAGCGCACTAGTTGACGTACGCGTGAAATAGTCGATGACTTTGGTTTGAATCCTACAGCCGGCAGCGCTGTTTTTTCATCGGTATTTTATTTTCAAAGGGAATTTATTAATAAAAAATACTTCTAAAGTAATAACGAAAAAATGATGAGATACAAAAATTTTCTTAAAAAGAATTTTTTCTTATTTACTTTGTTCCAATGTACTACACGTTTCCACAAACTCATATGCAAAAGATATAATGATACAGAAGACTTTCGATTTTAAAAACACCTACGGCCTGGGAGGGAGGGGAAAGGAATAATTGGAAATTACTAAAGCATATGAACAACCTTTCCGGACGAACGCAGTTTGTAAAAATACTGAAATAATTATGACTTATCACAATTTAGCATCCTACTGGAAGAGTTTCCTAAGAAAATAGTAGAGTTTTAACATAACTCATAAGGGGAGCACTATCAAAGAAATGATTTTGGTGATTGCATTTTCCTGTGAAAAGATTTCACGATCATGAACCATCAAAACATTATTACAGTTTTGTATTTATTTCTAACTAGGTGTACCCGCCCGGCGTTGCCCGTGCATTTAGAAAATGCAGATAAGTGAATAGCGCAGGAATAGTAGTGTAGGACATGTAGACTGTCTCTCTCTCTTCCCCCCCCCACAAGCTACAAAAAAGAAATGAATTGTAATTAATCGATTTAATGTATCGTCAAAACAGCAAACTAACGCTAGAATAAAGAAATCAATTGTTACAATCGAACGTTATTTGAAAACAATAATAATATCAGTGAGTCAAAAACCGTGATTAATTAATTATAAAAATTTTTTTTTAATTTTTCTAATTCAAAAATCGAAAATCGGGCTTCGAGGTCTGGTGGCCAGCCCCTTTGTGCTTCCGTATAAAAAATTCCAGGTCCCTGCGTGCGATAGATTTGGCTGGAGAGCTCGGTCAGACAGACAGACAGACACATTACACTTGCTTTTATTATTATATAGATGAAAACATTCAACTGTAAAAACAGTGTAATCAAATATTCACAATTTTTTCCTCCTTTTCCTTTTTTCCTTGAAAAATATTTTTTTATAAATATTCTTCCAAGGTGAAAAGAATAAATAATACAAATACAAAAAGATAAAATAGATGACGGCACCAGATTCGAACGGATGATTCTTCGATTACAGTATTTTAACATTAAACACTACAACATCGGGATTTACGACGGACGGTGGAAGTTAACATATATATTATTCAGAACTTAAGCTTCAGTTTCTTGGCTTATTTTTCTAAAAGCTGCAGAATGTTAAGCAGAGTTTGCGCGAAATCGTTAATAGGCCTAGAATTTCAAAGGTAGGTGCAACTTCGGCATATTTTCGCTTCATACAATTTTAACAGAAAGTAATTCCATTATAAGAATTCTTCTCCACTCAAAGAAGTACTAGGAAGTATTATTGCGTCACGAAATCTAGGGCTTACTAATCACATTAATATACACCTCACTAAGATGAAAAGAAATAATATTTTACACATTTTTTTCGGGAGGAAGAAGAAGGATTTAGGCGTTCCTCCACAGCGAAGAGGTTGAGAAAGTTTGGTTTGAAATCCCACCCTCAAAATTTGTTTTAAGTGCATTTTCATCGAAAATTTTCAGTCTACATTATTTTAAAGAAATCTTTTCAGCATGCTTCTGTCTATACATAAGTTCATCTAACACTGAGATTGTTAATGCTCTCTTTACAGTTACTGGCATTTATAGGTAAGCTATCTTTGCCTGAAGAATGAGACCTAGGGCAGGTTTCATAAACAATTCAAAACCCATTTCAGTTGTCATCCTCATTCAATAAGCAAAAACCAACCGCAATCTAACCTACCAAAACAGAGTTAATTAAATTCCTTTCCATCACGTTAAAACAAAATTAATTAGATCACATTCTTAGGCACATTTTGTATCAAAAGCCTACAGATTAGCCGCCCACTTTTAACTCCAAAAAAGTTTTTAACCAACTTCTATAAATATGACTATATATACCTTGCTCGGCCTTTATTTTCGCAACTACAAGTCATAGACATATGCTTTTAATAACGAAAATGTCTTAAATGATGTCTTCATGTTCTGGTATTTTTTAAATTTAAAATATCAATTTTGTTAAAAATTAGGAAATCTAACTTTCTATACGTTCCTCTATTCCTACACACATATTTAGAAAAATTCTATACTCGTTATAAAAAGAAAAAGCACAAAAAATGTCACCCCTACACGACAAAAATTCGCCCAGATTTTTCATACGCCAGAATCATTCAATGGCCATATGAGCGAAATGTCTGTATTTGTATGTAACTATAAATAAAACAGCAGTTTAGAAAAATGCTTCTGATACTGGGAGATTAAGTGACGAGCATTTTTCTGCAGATTAATGCAAAAAGTATTGATCAATATATATATATAATTGAAAAAGAAAGCTAATGAGTACTGTGTTGTAAGGCCTATTTGGTCTTAAAAATTTTTTTTGCGCAATATGCTGCAAAAATTATGAAATAAAAGGAAGAAAAATTGTGGTGAGCTCGCCAAAAAGTTACCAGGAGCTGTGGCTCCAAAAAAATATTTCAACGAAGTATTTTTTAAAATAATGACATTGAAGGCTGAAAAAATTAGCCTATACGCAAAATAAAATGCAGTATATAAAAAAAACTGTTAAAATCAATCGTTGGAAAAATGTAAATGGCAAAAAATACAGTAAAAACCTATCGATGTGATAAGTGAAAAGTTAACACATAGAAAAACTGAACGACGGAACAAGTTAATACAAAATTAAAACATATGAAAAACAAATTACAAAAATGATAAAAATTATAGAGCGGAAAATGGTAAATTAGCCCAACTCGACCTCCAACCAGGCTTTTCAAGGAAAATTTGGTTGGTTGTCGAACCAAGCCAACTCCATTACGCGTTTCGCCGAAACAAACCATTGAAGCTCTTGTGTGACGAAAACTTTTTTTAAAAACATACGAATTGTACCGAAAAAAATCTTTTGGAACTTCAATTCTCTGTTCCAATTTCCCGACGCGTCCGCTCAAAATGACACATTAAGGTGTAAAAGAATGTAAATGCAACTCCAAACAAATTTAAAATTAAAATAAAAATAAAAATAAAATAAATAGCTGTCTGCTATTAGTCAAACTATACAATAACGTACGGGCTGGACCTGCTAGCTTAAAGAATTAAACCTTTATGAATTTAATAAGACCGAAATTAAATTCAAAAGAAAACAAACGCCGTGGGTCTTGCTAAGACCAAGAAAGAAATATGAAAAACTCTAAAAAAGTAACTGAAAAAACAGACCTGTGGCTGTGCTGTCCTCTTGATCAAATCATCTTGTCAAAATATGAATATTTGCGTCATTTAAAACATTTTTGTAATTGTTTGTAAGTATATGTCTATGACTAATGGCTGCGAAAATAAAGGCCAGATAAGAACTTTTTTTAACACAGTGTGTAAGTACGTATAAACTTATTAAAATTGAAAAAATTTCCAACTCAGCCAAAGGCTAATTACTTAACACACACTAAATTCATATCTTTTGTTTCAATTAGTATTTTATTAATTTAATTAAACTTTATATTAATTCTTCGTTTAGTTAAAATTTAAATTGCATATATATATACCCTATATATATGTACATATATATATATGTACACCCTATATATATGTACATATATATAGGGTGTTCCAACAAAAGCGCCGGATTTAATATGCCGAAAGTATACTTTGTTCTGAGATAATGAAAAATATTTTTACATACTTACAACAGGTAAATGTTGCGATTTAATAATATCCAGGTTGATTTGACCTGTGGCACTGGCATTTTACAGCCGTCAGTTCATTTTGCAGCTCTGTTGCAGTTTAGTCACCACGGAGAGCTACACAAAGGAGCAGCGAGTTTTGATAATGAAAATTCGTTGCAAGGTTGACAAGTGTTATGCAAAGACTATTAGAAAGCTTCCTGAAATCTTTGAAAGTGCATCCGATGACACAACAGTCTGACGACCGATAAAGAAATTTGAAGATACAGGTTTAACAATCTCCAAGCTCTCGATCTAGCCGGTCTGTTGAAAGCATCACTATTTAGCGCGATAGTGTTATTCCGAGTCCCGAAAAATCCGAATTTAAAAAAGAAATAGTAAAAAAAAAAAAAAAAAAAAAGAACTTTAACAGGAAACTAAAACTGTCATTGGCCATCTCGAAAGGCACATACGTGAAAAAAATGATTACGAATATCATCAAGAAAATGGTGATGCTGCAGAGCAAGTCGTAGAGGATATATGCCACATATTATTTTTCATTTTTAAATCGGAACATTACCTGTTATAAGCAGGTTAAAATACTTCCCATTCTCTGAAAATAAAGTATTTTATTGGACATATTAAATCGGGCGCTTTTGTTCGAACACTATACAGTAGGGATTCTCAATCTTTTTGCTCCATGCACCCCTTTCATCACTGTCAAATGGTCATCGCCCCGCCCCCCCCATTCCCTAACTCGATTGGATTGGATTGGATTATTCAATTATGGCAAAGCACACGAGGGCTATCTGCCTGAAGGGAGGGATGTCTTCGTGGAGGACTTTCTAAGGGAAACTGGCTCGTATACACGTTACACATGGGGAAAACCACGAAACCGCCCACGCAGCCAGCCCGTTCGCGGGATTCGAACCTCAGACCGAACTACCAGTGTTCAACGTCTTTACCGCTCGGCCGCTGGTGGGCCCATTCCCTAACTCGAAAAATACACGTTCATTTATTTAAATTAAAATTATTTTTAATGTATTTCATAAATTACACAAGGAAAAAAATATACAAAAAGTTGTTAAGTACCAAAATTTGAATAAAAGTATTCATAAAAATGCCCCCAGAC